ATTTTGCACGTAAAAACTCCGCCAATAAAAAAAGATCTGAAAAGACTAAACCAATTTATCGCGCGGCTTCACGCGCATCGTATTTTAAAGTGCGCAACAAGGAAGCGCCATTTTCTGCCCAACCCTTGTCTTCTCACAACGTGCTGCAGCCATTTTGCCACAAAGACACATTTCATCAAATAAAACCCCTTTGAATTCTATTTTCAGATCTTTATCGAGCTTACTTTTTAAATACCGTATGAAAAATAACGATTCGTTATTACATGCGCCACTTTTGTGAAAAGTGGGTCAGTAGAACTAGGTCACGAGGCGATTTATACGAGGAACAAAGAAACCTATAAAATACGACAGAAATAAATTTACACACTACATTCGACGAATTTGAAGTAAAACAGCTGTTATAATGCAAAATGCCAACAAAATGTTTTCTCATTAAAAAATATTAATACGCTAGTAGATCGAAAACCGTCTAAATACAACTAATGAACCACCATTGCAAACTATACATCAATATAATGCAACATCAGAACAAAACGTTTAATTTTAGACCAAAAACACTCGAGGAAGGGCTATATTTCTTACCTGTTTTTCTCGAACACAAAGAAACAGAGCAGAACGCGACGCCGGCTGCGGAAGAATAGAGCCTGCACAGAAAATGGCGCGAGTTTAAAGGCTCCACGTGACTGCAGATCTCGGAGGGCGTGTTCACATCGCGCCGCGTCACGGGGTTTTTACATGAATAAAGAATAGGCTACCTTTGTCGGACTTTGTGAGTAGCAAAGCTGTTTGTTTTCTTGCAATAAAAAAAGCCTACCTTTGTCACTGTGAATGTTAATTATGCTCTTACAGAAAAATACGATTTTATCTTCTATAAAGTTACTATTATATAATATTACATAAACATATTCATCGTTGCCATTTCATAAGCAAAAATGTGTTGTTGTTGTTTTCTATTTGTTGAAATATTTGAATAAAACTGAATAAGGTACTACAACATGTTTCTAAAATCCCATTAAACCTTTTATTTTTCTGTAGATGTAGGCCTATGCTACAATGCAATGCTCGATTATTCTAAATCATTATTCAAAAAGCATTAACTTATATTGCATAATCTGTGGTTATCGATTTTTTTAAATAGTGGTGACATTAGAGGTTGACAATATCAACATAAGCTCAGAAGACAAGGTCACTGAATTTATCTGCAGTGAAATTGTTTCACAATCTTACATTTTTGCAAGAAACACTACATAGCCTATATAAATACATTTGATGATCTTTTTAGGCTACTTTTCATGCGAAATTCGCTCTACATTATAATTAATGTTTCCTTTTGAGCACACGATTATACATCTGATTATATCTGTATAGCCTTATGAGGAACTGATTATAACCTGTTTTAAATCTCTATTGACCAAAACGTATATTCTTATCACGTGCAGATTAGTAAAAGGAGTCAAATGAATATGAAACATGGTTGTTTCTTCGTTAAAAAAACATGTTTTTGCAACATTTGCATGTTTGTGTAAGAACTATATTGAGAAGTTAAAAATTGTTAAACCGATTTTGCTCTCTGCTTTAATTAAAATACAATCTCTGAAAATGTGATTAGTTTTTAATTCTAAAACTGAAAATTGTGACAATTTAATTAGCATTAAATGCAGTTTTTACTGGCAAAATCAGCAAATATTCTACAAATAAGATACTGGCGTTGGTATTACTCATTAATGGCTCATCAAAGAATATCATTGTGCTTTCACTACATCACAATCACCCATCTATTACGCTCCATTTTAGCATTCTAAACAATGTAGCAGACTGAGGACCCCTGCGGGGCGGCGATGACCCCGCCCAGGAACAGTTGGATGCAGATTAGCGGCATGATTGTGGGGAGATGCTATTCATGGTTCTCTCTGCAGGACAATCGGGTAGTACTTCTAGATGTGCTAATGTAGGACAATCAACTACATCAGGATGCGTCGACTCAAGTGAACCGACATTCTATTGGAAATTAAACATTGCAAACAAACAAAGGAGGGCAACAATAAAGATATAAACTATATTAAACACTCAAGTTATGTCAGGTTTCGCATGGTCATGGAAAATGTGCAAATCTGTGGTAGGCTACAAATGCACCTTATCCACTCATGCAGAAAGCTAAAACTAGCATCTCTCAGAATTGTGCAGTGACCTGGATTAAGACACTTCTTCATCTACGAGGCAAGAGAAAGCAAGCAAGTGCAAGGGTGAACCAGCAGGGTTATAAATATCGTAGCCTCGGGACCTTGAGAACTGGCCTCCGCTTCAAACACCCACACATGCGCTTCCTGCACCTCACCACAACTTTCCATTTCTCGAACAAAGCCCGCCCCCTCCACTCAGCACGGCCAATATATGATACGGCATGCTTACATATCTAAAACAATACTAAAAATATAACTTCAATTACTACAATCGCAAAAAACCTCAGGCGTTGTACAACAATGCTGATAAAGGGGCTGCCATTGTAGATATCAGAAATCTATTGTTTTAATTGCAATTAGCTATTTGACCAGTGGAGGGCAGTAATTGCATACATCTCGGAATCTGTCTGACGCTGACGTCTCGAGTTTGAAATAGCTTGATCAGCATGTCTCCTATATACATGGAGCAGAATATGCATTTCTTAAATTTAAATGAGTTAAAATGTATATTTATATAATATAATATATAATGTATTACTATAAAATTATATATATGATAATGTTACATTAATAATAATAATTCACAATTGTATTTTAAATACACACACACATATATATAGACTATATATTACTAATATTTCTATATTAAAATATTGTTTTTATTCCAATAATTGATAACATATTTATGTATTATATTATGTAGATAATGTAATTATATAGTACATTGTTGCATTTATTTTTTATTTATTTAAGATATACATCTGAATATATATATGTTTATATATATATATATATATATATATATATATATATATAAACAATGAAACAATGCATTGGTAGGATTTTGGCTGGCATTTGTGTAAGCTCACATTTTGCAGCTTGTAAGGCGTGAGCTGTTGTTTTGTTTACAAGCTCAGTGTGGGGGTGGACGGCCGGTGGTTACTGGCTTTGTTGGTTGCACAGTAAGAGACTATGCCGTGCTAGCATATATCTTCATTCACATTGAAAACTTGGGTTACATAACATTCTGAGAATGAAATTTATGAGCATATCTGAGCACCAGACTCATGGCACTGACTCACATTTTATATCCGGAAAATCATTAAATCACTGGTGATTGCTGCTGTTGTGCCATTTCTTGGAAAAAGCAAGGACATTGCAACTTTTACAGAATGTTCATTGCACAAATTTATCAGTGTTGGTGGAGGATGACTTATAGCTGTGCTAGGTAAGGTTATATTTCAAACAGGACATTTTGATACTGTCAAGTTTATGCCCTGAACACCACCTGCAGAAGCATAATTCTCACACATTATTATTGGATGCGTGTGACTCACTCATGACAATGTGGTTGTGTATATATTCAGACACACCTATGACTCACCGCTTGCTTTCAGTCCAGACTATAGGCCCTATGTTCTATAAAAGCCTTTAAAGTCTTCCCTTCAGCATATGTTGTGTTTTGGATGCTGGTGTCCCTCTTAACCGGCAGGTTCAAAGCTATGCTAGTCCACCACTAATCAGCATGTTGGTCTTTTCAGAATAGGTTTGATTAAAATTGTGCCTATGTGTGAGTTCTGTATTCACACATTCTGTGAAAAAAAAAACATAATGAAACATAAACAAATAAAACAATACACAATATATAATATACAAATAGTATGTAATATAAACAAAATATATTTATTTATATACTTCAAATAAAATGAAAATAATTACACTACGCAACATAAATATATTAAATAAATATTATAGAATAGAATTAGGCCTAATAATGAAAAATATATAATCTAATGGATTTTTAATAGGATATTTATATTTATATATATATTATATCTAAATAAATCAAAATGTATTTGTGTATGTATGTCTATTAAATACATAATATATATTTAATATATAAATATAATAATTATATAATAAAAATATAAATACACAATTTAGATATATTGCATGCATAATATAGTATATAAATATATTAAAATAACGAAAATATATAATTGAATGAATTATAAATAGAAATATGTATATTTATTTATAGATAATACAACACAAATAAATATAAGTATTTGTGTGTGAGTATTAAAACACACACACACACACACACACCAGGGAAGTGCAACTACAACCCCATATCTACCATTGTAAAAGCTGATGGTATATTACTTTAAAGAAGTGACCTCGTTTCACACGATTACTTAATGTAACCGTCTCTGTAATAAGCCGTTGGGTGGAAGCTAATCATGTTCGCCAGTAAAATGTCCTTGATGGAAAATGCCACGATAGGGCATATTTGTCCAGCGATTACTCTCTTGTGCAGGTGTAACGCAGCAGTTGTGCGTCAGTTTCGCAGCCAAGCTCTAAATACCCTGCCATCTATAGAGAGGACAAGCCGTTCTGTTGTGTCCCTCTCCAGCTGAACATCATGTCTACCCGATCCCCCTATGAGAGACCCTCTAGCACCACTGAAGAAGAGGACGTGCTGGCCTGTTGTCATAGCAACTGGCCATACCTGCCACACGGGACGCGGCAAGCGGTGCCATCGCCGCGCGGCCGCCGCTTTATATAGTGGAAGCGTTTTGTGCAGTAGAGGCGCTGTTTGCGACGCGGTCTCGGGGCGGATGTTGCCACATTTATATTTACTAAAAGCTAAATAAAACATAACGGAACTTTTGTATATGTGTTATTTGCTATTTATCATTTCATGGGAATATGACTAGCGTAGTTTTCATGTCGTAGTTTAGACGCAGTTAACTATGACATTTTACACATAATTGTATTTCTACCTGGCAAACCGACTCGTAAACGCATGTTCTGGATTCGTTTTTAAGAGATTTTTCCTCGCAGTGAAAGTGAGCTATACTCGCGAGTCGCGACTGCCGCGTTCCGTGTGAAAACAGGGCCGTTCACACCAAGGTCAGGACGATATAACTATTCAGTTTTAATAATGGCTCTAATTCTATAAGTATACTAAAGTTCATATTCAGTCACGTGACCGGCTCGAAGACCTGGGGCAAGTTCAAGCTCAAACCGGTGTGCACCGTTTTAAGAACACAAAGAATGTCCTTCTCAGCTGTCATAGGTGCAACTCTTGCGTCATCAGAACAGGGTGTTCAACGCACCACCGTTTCCGTTTAAAAAACGTTTTGCACCGTTTTTGTCGGGGCTGAACGCAGCCCTGGAGGGCAAAACATCCATAGAACTGCAAGACAACCCTGTCAATTTTCCATCTGTTTCACAGCCGCAGATATTTAGATCACCTCTCAAAAGAATAAAACAAAGGTATGTGAACAAAATGCAAGTTTTGGCCATTTGCAATCCATATTAAGCACCCGCGGCAATATTTCAATCATTAAACAGTGCGACAAAACGTTGTTAAAACACTTAAAGTGCCTTAATATACTTGAAACAGTAATATTCTCTAAATTTATTATGCATAGTTTACATAAGCAAGCAGATGAGGCCGGAATATTAACGCAATCCGCTTAATGGTTCAGTGTTTTC